ATGACATTTATATGGGAAAAGGGCTTGCTATTTGTGATAGTGCACATGGACCCATGTAATTTTGAGAGATAACCGCCCAGGGTTTGAGGACAGTGGGGAAAATGTTCCTAATGTGATGATGACATTTACATGGGAAACTGATTGAAGAATGTGTTACTAGCCATACGTGGAAGATTCAAAATGAATTCCCTACCCTCCGGGGGAACATTATAGGTTCCTGGATGCTTCCATGCGTGGTAGACCAGTACCTGATCTGGACCTACTTTGTATCTTTCTAGCTCGACCTTAAGATATGCAAGTCACTGCAGGGTTTCTCTCGTCCACAAAATAGTTTCAAATTTCGATCACTTCACATTGGAGAATTCAAATACGAGTTTAGCAATGATTAAATTCGATATTTATTTTTCGAGGAAAACTCATTTCAGGTGCCCGCTGATGTTGACGATGCCGAGCTGAAGAGAGTTTTTAGTCAGTACGACGTTGCATTCATGCACCGATTTAGTGATGGGAATGTTATGGTATTTCAGATATGGTACGGTGACAGAAGCCTACTGTATTCAGCCGAGACGGCCAGGAGGAAATAGAGCTGCATTTGTGAGGTGATAATTATGGAGTAAAAATGGACCCGCTGGGGTTGGAACCCGGGTCGTAGGTTCTCGAAGAAATCTGACGGCCTCCGGGCAATCGATGCATTGAATGAGAAGTTCACCTTCCCCAATAATGATCGCCCGGTAGCAGTAAAATGTGCGGAGACGCGAGAACAAAGGTGATAAGCGGAGCGAAGTTTTTCGGCGGAGGAGTTTTTGTTCTATATTACCCGAAACTCGTCCTTTCTGAAAGCGTCTCAGATCGATTTAACCCTTGACTCCATGCACTACATTCCGCATAATCGTTCGACCGTACTCTAACTATTTTTAATGCTACTTCTACGAGAATGTGAATTTTTCTCCCGCAGAGACGGACGATTATGCATTCAGGGACGCGCATAGACAGGATATGGACGTGCCGCGCTCACAGCAGCAGCAGCCTTCCAATCGGTTCTCCAATGATAGTGGCTACGGCCCTGGACCAACGTCGACCGGGGGTTACGGTCAGCGAATTACGGTGAGCACCGGTGTCACCACTCAAGTGTCACCACTCGTTAATCAGCCGGTACCAACACCTGCGGCTCAACCTAGACAAGCGGGAGATTGGACAGAGTAGTATCATAAGGGGGCGGGAGAATCGTGTTTTTGATGCTGTTGTCACTGATCTGAAATGAACTCATTTGATTGCTACAACATTTTCAAGCCAAACTAATTTCTTACCGACGAAATTGACCTCCTAGATGTCTTCTGTGGGTAAAATGTTAACGAAAAAGGGAAATTTAAATTTGTGGTGAAGAAATAATTCGACCTGGAAACGCTGGGGACCTTTCTCGGTAGCTTCTACAGGAGGTCTGATATTAGTTCTCTTCAACTTAGTAGTTATGTTCGTGCTTTTACACTGTGGTATAGTTCGATAAGATAAAGTTTATATCTTGTATTGGCAATACTTTATATTCATTAATATTTTGGAGTTACACCCGTTTTTCGCGAAGTGAAATGTGAAATGTGTTTTTTACATAACGGGTGGAACTCCATTATTGGAAATTTTCTATGAAGGTATTTAAGTCAGTCGGATGGGCGGTATTATTATCATAATTCCCGAACGGGTCAAACACAATGGGATGTCCCCTACGAGGTAGCGGGATGTTGGTGGTATGGGTAGAATTTGAGTCTTTGAGCAGTTCCAAAGCATGGGGCCGCCCCCGACAGCAGTACCACCCCAGCAGGATCACAGGTTGGTGT